TTCCTTATCAATACAGGGGGCTGTGTTTTTGACTTTACTCTTATCCTGGACCCTTATCTCCAAAACTTTCACTATCTCGGGGGTTGAAGGAAGGACTCATCAGCAAATGTTTACTCTCCTCCTCTCTCCTGTGTCTGATAAGACTAAATAATTATCCATTTATTTGCCCTTTTTATCTTAAGGTGCAATTACAGGGTTAACATAAAAAATCTGAACTCTGTATTTCCTCATCCTTCTGCCTTTCTCTCACTTATTGATAGGTTTGTTGTAAAGGTTATTTGGAAGTTTTGTTGTCTTAGCCAGCCTTAGAAGAAATATAAAATTCCATTGCTTTTAGTCTCATGTGAGACTAAGGAGGGTGGGGGTGATGTATAAAAAGGCCTTTTAAAAATCCAAGTGGCAGTAAAGACCTGTAAGTCTGTGTGGGCAGGTGGTCTTAATTTGTTTCATTGTCATGAATATAGTTTGGGTTTAAAAACAAGGTAGAAAGGAACTGATAAGAGATAAGATGTAAGAAAGTTATAAGTAACATGACATTTTCTGGATAAGAAAGGATTTTGTATGAAAATAAGATTTTGTCCTAAAGCAAAGTATTGTTCCAAAATGGAAATAGATAAGAGCAAAACCAGAGGTTAAAAGTATGTCACAGAAGGATTGTGGTAGGATCTATGATGAGATGAAATTGATAGGAATCCCTATGCCATGTTGGTAGGTTCATGGAAAGCTCTGAGGCCAGAACAGCAGTTCACCAAGGCAAGGAAAGATGAAGAGATGCATGTCACACTTATGCACCCCCCCACATATCATATATTATCACATATAAGCAGATGATCTCATAGTATAGGACCTCCTTCCCCCAAGCTGCTCCTCTGAAAGGAGGGGTGGTCAAAGTTGCCTGCAAATTTGAACATACAGGGTGACCAGAGGCCCCACATTAAACTGTGAATATATTGTCCCTTAATGTGCAAACCACATGGGCTCTGGTGGACACTGGGAAAATACACCCTAATTTATGACAATCCCCCCTCTAAATAACCATAGAGAGCTATAGATGGATACGGAGGTATGACAATGAAATAAAGAAGATCAGGCTTACTTGGGGGTGAATGACTATCCTCCTCAGGAGTATGCTGTTTGTATCTTTCCCCTGCAAGAACACATACTAGAGTGGATGTGCTTCTGGGGCACACCTTGCATACCACAGTCAGAGAATTCCACCTGAGGGTATGAATGGTAAAGGCAGTGACATATGATTGGGTGAAATGGTTGCCAACAAGACTGCCTGACATAGTTACTACTAAGCAGTATAGACATCCAGGGGGATATAAAAAATTACAGCCACTATCAAAAATTGGCTACAAGAAGTAGCCTACACACTAGGCTGACACACTAGTGTCAGGAGGCACTATGCAGACTACAGGGGAAAATTGCTGCCAGTGGTCGTGCTCGGCGGTGATTCTCTTCTAAGTTCTGCAGTGGCTCTCCATTGCTTTGGGTGAAGTCCAAACTCCTTAACTTACAACATAAAGCCATTTATCAATTGATTCCTATTTTCCTTTTCAGACTTATCTTCCCTTTCCTTACTTCTTCAGAATAACCTGAAGTACTTCTAGTTCCCAGATAAGCCATATTCTTCTTGCTGTTACACTTTTGGATAAGCTGCTCTTTGCCTTGATTTCCATTTCTTACTCATCAACTATATTAATTACTCCTCTTTAGGACCCTCCTCCAGGAAACTTTCTCTGACTCTCTCAAATAAGGATGAGCTTGTGTTCTTTGTGTGTTTTTTTCCAAAATGTTGTATATGCCTCTGATCACATCACTGTACTAATTATGCCCCCAAATCTGTAACTACTGTGGCATAGATTCTTGGTGATCTGTCCTTCTAGTTTCATCTCTTATCACTTTCCATCCTCTCCTTGTATTCCCATTCTTTTGTTTCTTGAACCTATCACCTTTTGCCACCTCTAAGTCTGTATGTCAAGTTCTCCAATATCCTCCTCCCTCCTACCTTATTCTTTGCTTGGATAACCCCTTTGCATCCTTCTGGACCTAATTCATATGTCTCTTCAAGGAAGTCTTTCTTGAATCCCCAAGACTGGATTAAGTGTCCCTTCCGAACACTCTCATTCTTTGTTTTTCCTTATTGTACTACTGAAAATATGGATTTCAAATTCTCTGTCTCCCACTATATTGTGTATTCTTTGAAGGGAGAGTGTGTTGCTGATTCTTCCTGTTTCTTTAGCACCTAACAGAGTGCCTGGCTGATAACAATTTTTGAATGAAATAACCAATGAGGGATAGTCTAATGTAGTTGAAAAAATTTAGTCCTAGAAAACCTTCAATTTGGCTGCTGATTGGCTGTGATGGCTGGGCTGATCTTTTCTGATCTTCGTTTTCCTCATTTGTAAATAGGGAGATACACCTCTTTCTTTTAGGACGGTTTTAAATATTGACTGACATTTAAGATGCCTGGTGCACTGCTGGAAATATAATAAGCACTTAAATATTCAAGTGATGTAAGTGTCTTTCTTTCTTCCTCATAAGATCCATGTAGTACTCTCTTTAAAAACATTCATATGTTGTAATTCCAGTTTGTCCATGACTGGCCTCATTCCTCAGAGTTATCATCCGATGAGCTGTCTTTCTTTTGCTTTGACCATTTTCCCTAAAGCTTTCCCTACAGATCTGTTGTGATTGCAGTGTCTATCATTGGCCCAGCATAGGCTCTATTCAGACTTCAAGACTATGTCAGCGTTCTGTGTTATTTAGAAGGATATAATTTAGGGACCCAGTTTACCAGTAGAACAGTGTCAGGTCTTTCTTTTTTGCAGAGTATTGCTCCAGGTCAGTTGTAGGGAGAGGAGATCCACATTATGGGGAGAGTTGAAGCCACACTAAATGAAAACTTTGTGCCCCAAATGAGCCAGTTTTTCCTATAATAATTTCATAGACATGGCTTATAGGGTCTTATCAAGGGAAACACATTAGAGGAGTCACCACACTCAGAGAAGCCCAAAACATGGAGTCTATAAGATACTTACAGTGCAATTCTAGTTCCTTGCAGTCAAGGTGAAATTTGGGTTTTTTGTTTTGTAAGCAAAAAACATAATTGATGATCTTAACTTATTAGGTTGACAAAGAGAACAGATCTAGAAAGTTTAACTGGAGATGAAAATCTTATGTGAAGAGAGAAAGGGTTTTATTAACATTTTTGCTCTACTAATCCTCTCAGAAATAACTTCTGACCTTGCTCAGCAACCTGATAACATCAGGGTAGTGCTACTGAGAAACCAAGAATCTGGTGTATCACCTTCTGCATTGAGTCTGTTACTACTCAATACTGGGCTGCCCTCTTTTTTGGTACATTTTTCTTATATCTTATTTTTAAATTATATTATTATTATGTAACTCAGGTCCTAGCAAGAACTCTACCACTTGACCTGCACCCCCGGTCCTTTGCTTTTAGTTTGTTTTCAGATAGGGACCCTCATTTTTTGCCTGGGTTGGCCTCAGACCACAATCCTTCTACCTCTGCCTCCTGAGTAGCTGTGAATACAGGAATGAACCACCACACCCAGCCCTTGTATCTTAATCTATATTATTTATCCAAATATTATAAATAAATGTGTCATTTAAATGTCATTTTAGTATTTCAGCTTAATTATTTAAAGCAGTGATGTATGCTATGGATAATTCAGTGGCAATATGTAGTATAATTTTTCCTTTAAGAATGGCCCTGCTTGTTCACTCTGTTTCCTCATTAACTGATCTAGGGATGCCTCTATGGGTACCCACTAGTTTTGTTTAAAAAGCTTCTATATGTACCAGGTTCCAGCTCAGGGAATTTCCTCCAGACTTGTCTTCCTGTCATCTGTTTTAAGGGACCATTTCATGACCTCTTTATCCTTATTTATTCCTATTAGCATTTAATGATAGGACTTTGCATTTCATCTTGATGCTGATTTGGTAACATGTATTTGCCAGCATCCTGGATTTCTCTACTCAGCTACTAGAATAGATAAGAGATGCATACTCTTGTATTCATTGTATGTTTTCCATAATATCATTTGTCAGGTATATTGTACCCTTTACTGTCTGAGTAATGACAAAGAAATCAGGCAATGAGATGATAGTTGTTTGGCCTACAAAACTGTGACTAAAGCATTACTGTGTATTTTGTAGTAGAGAATTCTGATTGATAGTTATATGACGTTGGGGATACAGCCATATAAGATCTAAGCATAGATCCAGATTTATAAGGAAAATACAGGAAAAGTCTGAGTTTTTTTTTGTAGGCAAAAATCAGAAAACACAAATTTACATATGTAGTTAATGAGGGAATGCAAAGTATTTTGAAAGAATGGGATTGAGAAAGACTGTCTAGAGGATGGGTCAGGTCCTTGAAACTGGTAGATTAGATACAGTAAATCACTGTTGGTGCTAAGGGACCAAGAAGTGGCATTGTCACTACCAGAATGACAACTGGAGAAAATGGCTGCAGCATCAACAGATTATAGGGGAGAGAGAAGTTGAGTTCTCCGGTAATCCGTGAATATGAGGATGGAAGGCAGGTGGGTAAGAGTGAAGCATGAAGGTTCCCACCATGTTCTGTGGTTTCTATAAAGAAAAACTTATACTGTGAAACAGTGACAGAAACAATGCTAGACACTCTGATTTGGATTTGAAATTGCTGGGACCTGATGTGACTCCCTCTAGCCCTACTGTTTAACAGGGATAGACTTCCAGGTTCACAGAGACTTGTTTTTAATTAGACATTTCTAAGGAAAAAAAGATAGGAATGAAGAAATAGTAATGTAATCCTTGGAAGATTTGCATTTCAGTAAAAGCAGCTGGCTCTTGGTCCACAAATGGCTCATTTGCCATGCTGGGAAAAATTAAAAAGGAGACGTCCTTCTGAACGTGGTGCCCATTTACACATTTGAATATATCTTCTGCCTCCACCATCAGCATCACAACTGCTGAATCTTCAAGCAAAGATGCTTCCAGCACTGTATTTATCTGTTTGTATTGTCTCAGTTATTTTAAATTTTGTAGGAATAATTGTGAATCTATTTATTGCAGTGGTCATTTATAAAACTTGGGTCAAAAAACATAGAATCTCCTCTTCTGATAGAATCCTGTTCACCTTGGGCATCACCAGATTTCTTATGCTGGCATTGTTTCTACTGAACACTTTTTACTTCTCTTCAAATGCTCAAAGGTCAGTCTGCTTTTCCACATTTTTACTTTTGTGTTGGAGGTTTTTGGATTCTAGCAGTCTCTGGTTGGTGACCTTGCTTAACAGTTTGTACTGTGTGAAGATTACTAACTTCCAATACTCAGTGTTTTTTCTGCTGAAGCGGAACATCTCCACAAAGGTCACCAGACTGCTGCTAGCCTGTCTGCTGATTTCTGCCTTCTCTACTCTCATGTATCATGTGCTCAGACAGATATCACGTTTTCCTGAATTTGTGGCTGGGAGAAATGACACATTATTTGACCTTAATGAGGGCATCTTGACTTTGGCAGTCTCTTTGTTCTTGAGCTCATTACTCCAGTTTATGCTTAATGTGACTTTTGCCTCCTTGCTAATACATTCCTTGAGGAGACATATACAGAGGATGCAGAGAAACTCCACTGGCTTTTGGAATCCCCAGACTGAAGCTCATGTAGGTGCTATGAAGCTAATGATCTACTTCCTCATCTTGTACATTCCATATTCGACAGCTACCCTGCTCCACCTTCCTTCTTATATAAGCATGGATTTGAGTACCAGAGCCATTTGTTTGATTATTTCTACTGTTTATCCTCCAGGACATTCTATTCTCATCATTCTCACACATCCTAAATTGAAAACGACAGCAAAAAAGATTATTTGTTTCAACAAATAGTGGAGTTTCAGTACTAAACATTGGCTGGATCACCTTATGGTTTGAGAGCAAGATTTTTCTCTGATATAAATTTTCCCAATGACCTGAAGAATTTATTTTGTGACCCCTTATCTGACATCCTGGATCTTTGAGCCCTTGTATTTCAGTTAATTCTGAATGTTTTTGGCTAATAGTTTTAAAATATACACATTCTCTCTGTAATTTGTTTGGGACGTTAACTTCAGTAATTTGTATGCTATTGTATGCCTGCCTAATGGAAATCATCAGTCACATTAGACTGAAATATAATGAGAGTTTCCCCCAAATAAAAATTAAGGAACACAGTGTTGTGTACATGATTAGCTTTTTTTGTTTTTGGTTCAACTAAAGAGACCTGAGTAAAGGATAAGCAGTAGGTAAGTGGTCACTGACAGTTGGTAGACTGGTTTAAAGCATGAAACGGATATGAAAAGAAAAAGAAAAAAAAAGTTTTCAGACAAAAAAGAAAGGAAAGAGTAAGGTTTGAAATAGGCATATACTGTAAGACAAGACAGACAAAGGTTGCAAACCCTTGCTGGGTGATAGTAACTGAGATATTACTAATCAAGAAACCCTAACACTAAATTTCTAGGCTTGATTTGGAAAAGAGGAAAATATTAGAAGTGATGGGTGGAAAGAAATGATTTGTCTTAAAGAAGGCAAACCGAGAAAGCTAACCTAAAGAATAAACAAGTTCTAAAAGTGAAATCAACACCATTTGAGTGTGCATTTACAAGATACTTCACCTCACTGTATGATGTGGAATTCTGTAAAAAGCCAAGAGGAGTCATTGTACTGGTAGTGGGAGTGTTTGATTTGGGATTTATTTCATTGGTTTCTGCATCTGTGCACACACATTTCTCCAAGAGAATGCTGTTTTTGGGTCTGGAATAACATGTCCAGGGCTCCAGAGGAACATGAGTCTGAAAATGGGATGTTGATAAGTTTTGAAATAAGAATTGAGAATTAATTATACATATATAGTTAAAATAAACTGCTTAAGTAATATTTATAAAATGCTTTTGTAACATTTATACCTCTCTAAATAAAATAAATACTCAAATTGTACAAATTATCTGACTGTCCTATTCTGGCCACCAGACTTCTTTATTTTTTAATGTTTTTATTAGTATATAATAGTTGTACAGGGAATTTCATTGTGACATTTCCATTTATGCTTACAATGTTCCCATTTGGTTTATTCTCTCCATTATTCTCCCTCTTAAAACTACATTGACAGGTTTCAATGTTCCATATTTGTACATGTGTAAAGAATGGCATCAACCATATTTACCCTCATTTACCTTTTTCATTTATTCTCTCCCTCCCACTACTATCCTTCCATTAATATTGACCTGTTTTATATTCCTGTCCTTCATTGTTTAAGTGTCTGTTCATTGTTCAGTAGGGTTTTGTCTTGGTATTTTACCTGTAAATATATTATACTTTAGTCAGTCTAACTCTCTCTGTTACTCTTCTTTATCCTTTTTCTCCTACTCTGTATTGTTTAACAGTTTTCAGTGCATTTTGTTGTGTCTTGTTCCTATACCATGTGATGTATTTTTATAGTATTCACTCTTTATCATTCTCTTTTTCTTTCCTTCTTCCTCTAGTCTCCTCTAACAGTTCCACTATTGGAAACATGTTCTCTCTATCTCTCTCCCTCTGTGTGTGTGTGTGTGTGTGTGTATTTCACATATATATATATGTGATAATATTTGTATTTAGATCTATTTTCCACATAAGAGAGAAAACATGCAACCTTTGCCTTTCTGAACCTGGTTTACTTCACTTAACTTGATGTTCTCCAGTTCTATAATTTACCTGCAAATTCCATTCTTCTTTTGGACACCAGAATCTTGACTGCAGTATTCAGTTAAATGTTACCCAACCAATAGTTTATAGTTGGAAACATGGAGGTTTTCATAATTTTTAGAATCTTAAGATTAATATATAAAACAATTTTTGAGTGTGATTAATGTACACTATGTCATAAGTACTCTAAATCAGTGGCAGAGCTTTTCCTGAGTCTGCTAATATCTGTTCTTTCTCCTCTCTTTCATAATAATCAAATTGTAAGTTGTCCAGAATTTTGGAGGCTAATTATATTTTACAGCTTCTTTGTATAAGTAGATGCTGTGATCAAATTCTACCAATAGAGTGTGACCAGAAGTGATGCGTGTAATTTCTAGGTGTGCATCTACAACAGTCATGCTCTCCTCCCTTTTTCCTCCTTCTTCTTTCCTCCCACCTTCTTCTTGCCCATGGACTGGAATGCTGCTGTAAGGATTTCCCATCTTAGACCATGCAGCTGAGGTGAACACTTGGGGATGGTGGAGGTATTATCCATCCTACAATTGGATGCATGGTTCCTAATGTGGTTGAGTTGCTATACCAGTTCTGAACTACTTATGCCTGAACTCCAGGACGGATCATGAGCAATAAACTATCTCCATTCATTCAGGAACTGTGTTTTAGTCTCTGTTACTGTAATCAAATAACTTATGCTTTAATATAGACTGAATGATAGCATATCTTTGTGATGAAATATCATGTAATTATTTGCAATATTATATTCAAAGAACATTTTATAGAAGTAAAATTTATAAATAAAATAAAATGACATTTTTTTGGTAAAAGTATGCTTTTTTATAAAAATATGTACATCTGAATAAAAATCTAAAAGGAAATTCATAAGGGTGCAAATGGACAATATTTTTATGTTGGAAGTTCTGAGTAATTTTTTTATAGTTTACAATTTCTATGATGGATATGCATTTATTTTGTAATCAGAAAACCACATTCAAATATGTATATCCATCCATCTATCCATCCATCCATCAATCCATCCATCTCTCCAAAGAACAGAGAGGAGATTCTGATGTCAACATTCAGTTTCTCCTTATTAAGAAAGATAAATGAATAGTCTTTCTTCTATTATGTCTGGATTCTTTTCCTACACAATACTGACAAAGATATGTTTTTGTTAGACTACATCGTCTTCAATTTTTCCCTCATCTGAGTTGGATGTGCTGTTTTTGTATTAGAACTGTTTTTGCTACTTGAAGAAAGCCTTGAGACAACTTGCTTAGGCACTTGCCCAAAGTCCTCCCTGGGCACAGGGCTTTTTTTTTTTTTTTTGAGGAGGGGGACTGTTTATTTTTGCTTTCTTGCAGCCCTTGGTATTGAACCCAGGACCTTGTGCATGATAGGAAAGTGCTGTACCACTGGGCTATATCCCCACCCCTGTGGGTACAGTTTTTAGCAATGCTGTAGGTTTGGAATTTTTCTGGCTTCAATATATTCTGTAAAATGCCTGCCACTAAGGACTTACTAACCATGAGTTAAAACTTCTTGGTTTATTTTTTTAAGACATGATAATTTATAGGCTCTCTAATTTAAATACTCTTCTGTTGTCCACCCATTGCCAGAAAAGGAGAAGTGTTAAAGTATTGGTTAAGAAGAGTATATTTTCTGATGTAGGTGCCAGGTCAGTGTCAGAATATTGTCATGAAACATCTACTATGGCACCTGTAACTCAGGGATCTGCCACTTAGCTTTTAAGTATTACAAGCTCAATGTTGTATAAGCTATATAATTGGCTCATCACAAAATCTTTGGTAATATAGGTATTGTGCTTATTGTATAGTTGAGAAAATAGAGGCACAAGACATTCAGTAAGTGGTTTGTAATAGAACTAGAAGATTGTTAATCCAGGGCTCCAGTTTGTCTTCTGACTCTAAAATCCAATTTGTTTCTCACTCTATCTCAAGGTAGATAAAAAGATACAGGTACAGAATGGAATCATGTCCAATTATTCAGCTTTATTTTATAAGATAAGAAGAAAATATTCAAAATGATGTCTAAAGTAGCATATGTTCAGCCTGAAGACCCAGCCAGGGCTGTCAATGTAATGTAAGTTGGGGATGAGAATATGAGAATCTTGTGGTGCTTAGTTTCCTTAGATGAGATGGATGTCATGGTGTCATGGAGACTCTGGGATTTTAGGTCCTGGGATTTACATGAGACTTTTTAATGGAAAAGTGGTAATATTAAAGAAGAAACTTTTAAAATTTGTTTTGAACATTGCTACTTGGAAATGAGTAGGCCAATGCAAAGATTATGGTAAAGTAGGATAGATTCCTGTAAAAACTAAATGGAAATTCTTAAACATTTCAAGAATTTTGAAAGTTTATATTGCTTAAGTTTCACTCAATCATGTGTGACTTTGGGCTTCCCTATTGAGTCATTTTCAGTTGTTTTTCAAAAAGAAAGTATTACTGGGAAAGAGAGATGTTATTATTATTATTATTTTGCTATTACTGGGGTTTGAACTCAGATTCTTGCATTTTCTAGGCAGGTGCTCTATCATTTGTGCTACTCTGCCAGCCTGAGATTAATCTGTTAAAGCATGAATTGAAGGTAACTTAAGATAGCTTTGAATGCCAATCTCCATGTGAAATTCAAGGTTAAGACATTTAAAATAACTTTTAATAATGTCCTTGTTTTGGTTTGGATTTGAAATGTGCCCCAAAGGCCATGTGTTGAATGCTTTAGTCCCCAGTTCAGCAATGTTCAGAAGTGAGATCTTCAGGAAGTGATTAGATCATGAGGCCTTGTCCTCATTAATGGATTAATTCATTGATGGGTTCATAATTTGCTGGACTTAATAGAAAGAGTGATGGAAATTTAGGAGGTGGGACCTACTTGAAGGGAGTGGTCCTTGGGGGTTGTATTTTGTCCTTGGTCCCTTCTTCTTTTGCTTTCTCTGCTTCTTGGCCACCATGAGCTGAGCATCATCACAATGCCCACAGGCCCAGAAACAATGGAGTGAAGTAACTATGGACTGAAACCATAAGCAAAAATAGTCTTTCCTCTGTATCACGAATTTTGTCACAGGGCAGAAAGCTGACTAACAGTCTACGGCCATATCACTCTGAACTCGCCAGATCTCATCTGATCTCGGAAGCTAAGCCTGGTTAGTATTTGGATGGGAGAAAGCTGACTAACAGTCTTTTTTTTTTTTCAATTCAAAGCTGGAAATGTATCCCCTAGTCTAGCCCAAAGTCTAGTTTGCAAAGAGGACTGAGTTGCTTAGAAGCATGGCAGAGGCCATTGGGAGGTCTTTTCAGATTTGTTTGC